CCCCCAGCTCCCTGCCTGTCCCCAGGCTGTGGCCAGTTGAGTAGAGATCCTGGTGAGTGCCACAGGGTCGCAGGTCACAGGGCGAGCTCAGCTCCCACCCTCACCCAGCCCAGCCCCATGACTGTCACAGGGTCACAGGGTCACAGGGAGAGCTCAGCTCCCACCCTCACCCAGCCCAGGTCCCATTACTGTTACATGGACACAGGGTCACAGGGCGAGACCATCCCCATGACTATCACGGGGTCATATTGTCAAGATTTCTCCCACTGGGCCCGAGGCATCAAAAAGGCGAAGCCTGTTTTTCCCTTCATCTGCCTCAGTCACCCACACCAGTCCCTGACTTAGAAGGTTCTGGAGGGTTTTGTGAGAATGAACACTTGCCTTGCCAGCCAGAGAGAGGGAGGCATTGTTGTGTGTGGAGGGGCTCATGCTGAGGGAGCAAAACACGCTCAAGTGGGGAGACATGACCCCCCGCCACAGCTTGAGACTCACAGACATGAGCAGGTGCCCTGGAATTCCTGCAAAGTGCACGAAGAAGCACAGGGAAAAAGACGAGCAGGGAGAGGAGCTGGGCCCAGACAGAGAGAAGCAAGGTGGGTGAGGCACGGGCAGAGGAGGGTGAGAAGTGTCTGCCTCGCCATTTCCCTGCTGGGTTTTTTAAATGCATCCAATGTTCACCCACAGCTGACTCTCACTTCGCCCATTAGATGTGCTGCCTCTGTTCATACCTTTAAGAACCTTACAAGGCAAATATTTTTAAAATCTTCATTTTCTATCTTAAAAAATCAGTTGGCCAGACTGAGTGCCATGCCCAAGGTCACACACCCTGGACGATGGAGCAGAGCCCAGAGCAGCCGCTGTGCCCCCAGACCCCACAGCTACGTGCAGAGGCCACTGCTGGGAAATGGGAATTGGGGCCTGTGGAGAGGAGTCCAAACCCTAACTGGGTGATATCACCCCCAGAGGGCCCAGCTGGTGTGTCCAGGGCAAGGCCCTGAAGTATGCCCTTATTATCAATTATTGATTATTATGAAAGAGGCCCTCACACCACCATCTGACATTCATGGTTTATGCCAGGGAAAGCTTTAATTCTGACAGTCATAGGACATTGAGTCAGGAAGAGGCATTCGGTGCAGGCAGAGGCGAAGTGTTGCTCTGTGAGCTCCGATCTGAGATCCAGCAGCCACTGTAATCACACTGACAGGCTTGTCCACCCCCACCTTGAGAGAAATCAATAAGAAATTACAGAGTACCAAGCAAATTTCTACACAATCTGGTATGGGGTGAGGGGGTCGATCATGTTGGGTTTTTGCTTCATCTTTAAGTTCAATTTGGAAAATCACATAGTTAATCGCATTTGCTACCCCTCGGCCTGAAACACACTACACAGCAGAGCTCAGTGCTACATGTATACCCAAAGTGCATAATGATTAACAAAAGCATTTGCACTCAGCACTTTCTCTTTGGAAGGCAACTGCTCCTCCTGCAATCGACTGTAAGTGAATGTCACGCACCTGTGACTTATCAAGCTCTCAGATCCACATTTTGAACAAAATTATCTCCCCAGGCCTAATACTTTTTTAGCCGCAATTGCCAGAGAAAACAGAACCACCTCACAATTCAGAAAATTCAAATGAGAAATAGAGATTTTAGCAAACAGAGAGCACTTTCAAAGCAGAGCCCAGAGCCTTCTTGCAGAAGCACCCCCGTGTGGTGATAGTTGAGGCCAAGGGACGAATGTTTTCACCCCAAGCCAAACAGCCAGGCAACATGCAACCTGAAAAGAACATGCTCCCATGTCAGGATACCTCACGAAGACACCTGATTTTGAAAGGCATCTTTTGTGCCTTTGAAATTGCATGTTTTTATTATTCTCCAACAACAGTGTCATAAGCTGTGGGGCAGGGAGCATGGGGCTGGGCCAGCCAGGTCTTATTCCTGCTTGGTTCTCAGGCCACGTGGAAAGCAGGGTCACATATCAACATCCAGCCACAATCAACTTCTATTTCCAAGCTGTGAGTTAGCTGTAAAAATTGCCGCACGTTTCCACTTGCTTAATGAGAAAAAAACTCATCCACACCCAAGAGCCTCTCCCCACGGACAAGGCTGATGAGCGAGGGGAAAGCCTCTGTGTTCTCGCCAGGGACGGGTCACCGTCCGGTCAGGGGCAGCCTGTGGGCTCAGCTTCATCTTCCTCTTACAGAGAGCCCAGAAAACTCTGTTATAGTATAGAGGCCAAGACAGTGATGGAACTAATCCGTTTCCACAGAATCAGCTTTATAGCAACAACACAGATGAGGCTGATCTGAGATGCCTGGGACCGAGCTGCACCTCAACCAACTAACAAACTCTGCAGCCTCAGTAAAGGAACCTCCTTACTGAGCAAATCGGACACTAATACCCTCCCCAGGGCAATGAGAAGCAGCAAAGTCCAGGTTATGCATGAGCCAGGCCTCAGAGAGGGGCAAGGGCACAGCTCACTACTGTAATTCACAGAGTATTTTGTAGTAAACCTGCATGCAACCTTCCAGAAGCACATTCACGGTGAGGGCAGTATGGACTGGGCAGGTCATGGGGCCATCCATGGCTGAGATTCCGTAATGGAACAGCTTTGCCAGAAAACAGTGGTCCATCATGGTCAGTCCAGAAAAAGTAAATCGTCATCAAATGCATCCATCACTCCAGCTAGCAAATGATGATTTTGCTCAATTGACTTCAGAGCATTTTCTGCCAAAGAAATAAAGCACTGCAGACCCAGGTGAAGCCACCCCCGGCTCCTCACTGCACTTCCCTCCTGCAATCCCCAGGGGAGGCTGGACTGGATCTTTATTACCCACTCATCCGCACCCTTGTCACGGATGACTGCATGAAAAATACAGAATGTTGGTGTTCTTATAACTTATATCAATAATATCCCACCCTATGAGTTATTTTGCAAGTCAATTGTATTATCTAGCATGCTATTTCTTGAGATTCAGCTACACTGAAGCATATAGACATAGTCCATTAGATGCAACTGCTGCATAGTATTCTATAGTGTGGTTATTTCACTGATGAGTCACCATTCCTCTAACCATAGGAACTTGCACACTTTCAAACTTTTCAGTTTTGTGAAAGTATGCTGCAGTGAACGTCTTGTTCAGCTCTGCCTCAGTGTATGAAGGTTTCTCAAGCATACATCTCCAAGGGCAGAATTGCTGAGTAATGTGTGTGTTTCTTTATTCATACCCAATGCTCCCAAAATGCTTTCCAAAGGAACTGTACTTGTGCTCATGACCACCAACCTGCGGTACATACCCTGAAACACTGGGACATTACAGGCCTTTTTAAAGTGTTTGCCTGTCTGATGAAGGTGGCAAGACACCCAGGGGCAGAAACCAAGCGAGTGGCCTGGGTACCTGCCAGGGACCAGCTTCCAGCCCATCCGGGCTATCATCATGCCTTCCTCCCTATGTCTGATTTAAAGTGAGAGAAAAGTGACTCTTCCTTTCACTTAACACTTAAGGGCCATAGCAGTGGTATTAAGTGGCCTAGTTTCACTACTGGGGCTTCTCGGGGAGGCCTGAGCAGAGGGAGAGAGACAGGGGACTGGCCTGTCGGCGGAGCAGTCAAAACACACACAGCACTTACTAAGTTTGCCGTCTTAAATAGGTGCAGTTCATGACACCCCAAGACAGTCACCATAGCAACATCAAAGAACACTCCATCAGAGGGCACCGTAATGGGTAACATAAGGGGAAAGTTTGAAATATTTTGAGAACAAAATGTGGCCAGGCTCAGTAGCTCATGCCTGTAATCCCGACACTTTGGGAAACTGAGGTGGGTGTATCACCTGAGGTCAGGAGTTCAAGACCAACCTGGCCCACATGGCAAAACCCCATCTCTATAAAAATACAAAAATTATCCAGGCATGGAGGCACGTACCTGTAATTATAGCTACTCAGGAGGCTGAGGCAGGAGAATCACTTAAACCTGGAAGGCAGAGGTTGCAGTGAGCCAAGATTGTACCACTGCACTCCAGCCTGGGCAACAGAGTGAGATTATGTCTCAAAACAAATTACCAAACTGTGACACAGAGGCATAAGGTGAGCACGTGGTGCCGATAGAGTTACTCAACTCAGGGTTGCCACAAACCTTCGATGTGTAAATAACACGATACCTGGGAAGCAAAACAAAGAGGTGTGCCTGTATTTAAATCATCTCTGGATTACTCCTAATGCCTCATAAAATAACAATGCTACGTAAACCATTATTATGTTGTATTGTTTAGGGAATAATAGTGAGAAAAAGTCTGTATACGTTCCGTAGTGATTCATCCATTTTTTTCCCGAATATTTTCTCTCCGTAGTTAGTTGAATCCACAGATGGGGAACTCAGGAATACGGAGGACTGACCATATTTACCAAATAGGTGTGCCCAGCCTCTGGGGGAAAGACCAGGGACTCACCCAAGGCCTCAGTGCCTCAGCCAGGCGGGTTTCAGGAGACACCATCTGTCTCGCCTCTGGTTGTTAATGAGGAAGTAGAGTTTTGGGGCTAGATGCCGAGAAGCATGAACCCCCTGCGCCTCAGTACTGGGGACAGGGGGGAGGGGGGCATTGGGTACCGGGCCTGGAGGTCCCTGTAGCAAGTGGGAAGGGGGACACTCGACTACACCACCTCAGGAAAGGCCTCTCTGACTTTTAACCTTGCCCAAAACTCATAAAAAGTCAGGGCCACTTGTGTGTTAGGAGCCAGCACAGCCGCACTGAGAACAGGGAGGAGGACACCTCCATGCCACAGGCCTTCAGCAAGCGCCGCTAGGGACACCATACCGCTTCTCCGCGTGGGCCATCGGCGCCCAGGGGTGCGCTCCCTCCTGCCCTACTCCCTCTGGCGGCCACGGTCATTTCTCAGGGCGCTGGGGGGCGATTCCCGCTCTGCAGCGTGGTCCCTAAGCCAGTGTCTACCGCTCCCACCACCTGCCGGCCCCGGCTCTGACCGCTCTGTTCTTCCCTCCAGGTACCAGCAGTGCCGAGGTGAAGGAGAACCGCAACGTGGGCAACCTGGCCGCTCGGCCGCTGCCCCCCGGGGACCGGGCCCGGACAGGCGCACCTGGCGCAAAGAGGAAGCGGCCGCTGGAGGAGGGGAACGGGGGCCGCTTGTGCAAACTGCAACTGGTCTGGAAGAAGCTGTCGTGGTCGGTGGCGCCCAAGAACGCGCTGGTGCAGCTGCACGAGCTGAGGCCGGGCCTGCAGTACCGGACAGTATCGCAGACGGGCCCGGTGCACGCCCCAGTCTTCGCAGTGGCCGTGGAGGTCAACGGGCTCACGTTCGAGGGCACCGGGCCCACCAAGAAGAAGGCCAAGATGCGCGCGGCTGAGCTGGCGCTCCGGTCCTTCGTGCAGTTCCCCAACGCCTGCCAGGCGCACCTGGCCATGGGCGGCGGCCCCGGCCCCGGCACGGACTTCACCTCCGACCAGGCCGACTTCCCCGACACGCTCTTCCATGAGTTCGAGCCCCCGGCACCTCGCCCCGGCCTCGCGGGAGGCCGCCCTGGGGATGCCGCGCTGCTCTCCGCGGCCTACGGGCGGCGGCGGCTGCTGTGCCGCGCACTAGACCTGGTGGGCCCGGCCCCGGCGGTCCCCGCGACCCCCGCGGCCCCAGGCGAGCGCAACCCGGTGGTGTTGCTGAACCGCCTGCGCGCCGGGCTGCGCTACGTGTGTCTGGCGGAACCGGCCGAGCGGCCGCGCGCGCGGAGCTTCGTGATGGCCGTGAGCGTGGACGGCAGGACATTCGAGGGCTCGGGGCGCAGCAAGAAGCTGGCCCGGGGTCAGGCCGCGCAGGCCGCGCTGCAGGCGCTCTTCGACATACGGCTGCCGGGACACGCGCCCGGCAGGGCCAGGAGGACGCCGCTGCCGCAGGTGAGGGGCGCGGGGGACGCGGGGGATGCGGGGGACGTGGGGGATGTGGGGGCCGCAGGGGACTTGGGGGACGCGGCAGACGCGGGCGATGTGGGGGACGCCGGGGGACGCGGGGCACGGGGGGAGCCCGACCTTTCCCTGGGAGGAACAGGTGTCCAGGTTTCTCCCGGAAGGAGCGGTCGCACGGGATGGGAGGGGAGAGAATGTTCACCCCGCCCTGGCCCTGGTAAGGGGACAGAAAAGCTCGTGGCGCCGGCGGTTTTTAGGGTGATGATACAGCCGCCCGGGAGAAGACGGCGAGGCCAGGTTCAGGCGAGGCTGGTGCAGCTTGCTCAAGGTGGGAGCAGCGGGGGCGCATCTGTCCACACCTAGGCGTGCTCTGCAGGGAAGGCGGATCCGTGCCAGGCCTGGTCAGGGACTGGGTCTCTATGCGGTGGGGTCGGATGGTCGCGCCGGGTAAGATTGGGGTCGCGTTTTCAACCAGGGGGGCTGGAGAAGGCCGAGCAACAGCGAACCGTCCCACTGGGGTGGGCGGCCTGTGCCTGGGTGCAGCCAGGGAGGCCACCCAACCCCGTAAGACCCAGATTGGGTTCCTGGTCCAAGAGAGAATCGCTCTGGGTGGCAGTGGAAGCCAGAGCGCGAGTGGGGGGCTGAGCCTCGCTCTGCCCGGCAGGACCCCTGTCCCTTCATGCACAGCTGCGGGTCCTTCTTCTCTGCGTTTACCTTCACTCTGTCCAGAACGTTCTTAGCTCTGTGCATTACCTGTTGAAGGTGTCCAGGTTCTTGGTGTCTTGAACAAAGAATTGGACAAACGCACAAAGCAAGGAAAGAATGAAGCAACGAAAGCAGAGAGTGCTTGAGAATGAAAGCACTCCACAGGGTGGGAACTCAAGAGTTCCTTACAGAAGTTTCTGGGGCTTAAATACCCTCTAGAGATTTCCACTGGTTACTGGGGGTAGGCCCTCTGTAAATGTTGAGGACTTTCCTGTCACAGCTGAAGTTTTTCCATTGATTTAGTTCTGGGAAATCATCGTGAACCGGCCTCCAGACCCTACTCTCCTGCCTTATTTCTGTCAGAAACTATTCTGATGCCATTTAAAACAATCTTATCCTGCCAAGTCTTGCAATGGCTGATTTATGCAAATTATCTTTTCTCTTATCATTTTCAGAATTATTTGTGGGCATCACTAATGTAGCAGATACAGAAAATTATCTTCATTCATTTTGGCATCAATCAAGGAAAGAAACATTTCACGTAGTTAAAAAGCACTTAGCCCAATGCGGGGGCCGTCCTAAGTGTGCAGTAATTGAAAGTTACGGCTGTGATCGCTACCAGCCTTACATAGCAATACCTAGGATAGAACCCTTTATTTTGCCTTGGGATATCATAAATCTCTTCATGAACGCAGGGTCCCATCAAACCTCAGACGCCACTCGGGGAGACTACAGGGTGACACAGACCACGTGCAGTGTGGCCCAGCCCCCATCTTGAATTGTGACTGGGTTTCAGTGCTCCCTTATTCACCTGTCAGCCAATGCTTGTTGGACTCTTGGCCAGTGTGGGGCACACCTCTGCCTTCTGCCTCTCAGGGAGCCATTCATTCATTTTCAAGTACTTATGGAACATCCAGTGGTCATTTTAAGGAGTGGGTTGGAGGGATTTAGACCACAGTCTCTACCAGTCCTGCCATCCAAAACTCACCCTCAAATAAAAACACAACCTAAACGAAAACAAGACGGTGAACAGCAAGGACAGCTTCCACATAAGTCCCTGGCACGATGTCCTCACAAGGGCGCTGGGGCCTGGCTTGGCATTCCTTATGCCTCCTTCTGATTTATGGCCCTCTCTCTTCTCTTTTCATCATTTCTCTGTAGCTTAAACTTGCCAGCGACCATCCTGGAAGCCACTTCACCCCTGTAGCCCCAGGTCAGGGGTTGGGGGAGGGCTGGGAGAGAGCCCTTCTGAAGCTGCCCGTGACCTTGGCAGTCTCGGGTCTCCTGCCCCCTTCTCTGAGAAGCCCCAGCACCCATGGTCTTGGGTGTGGCCCCATTGCTGGGATACCTTGCTCACCCAGCTGGTCCTGGCACTCTTCTGTCGAATCTGTTAAGCAGGAAACATCCCTCTGCCCCTCCCTTGCCCTCTCCTGCATCCTACTCATGTGAGATGTGAAGGATGTCAGTGAATTCTGGCTGCAATGCCTTTTCCTTTCATGTTGTCAACCCTGAGCGCTCACGATGGAGAAACCAGGCAGTGCTACTACTTTGTAATAGTCATTTGACCCAGAATGCAGCACATCAGTTAGAGCCATGGCCGCTAAATTATTTTTCTCTGACAGTCCCTAACCACCCCGACTGGATGATGAAGGGCGCAGAGCAGTGCGAGGGTTTCGGGCCATTCATCACTGCTCTGCACACTGCGTCCCAGGAAACCATTCCCCTCCCTCGTGCCCCTCCCCACATGCACCCACAGCTGAGCGGGGGCTGGGAGGACAGTGGGACTCAGGGCCAGGAACCTTCAGCAGTTTATTAAATTCAAATCCTATTCTGGATGTGATTCAGGGGAAAGAAATGAAAAGATTTCAGAAATTGCTGTAAATGTGGCTTTTCCTCCTTGCTCTGCCCCAATCTCCCTCCCAACCCCCATCTCTACCTCATGGACCCCCATCTACACAGCTTGCTTCCTGTTCACGTAGACCCTTGGTCCCACCACATGGTGGCTCTGGAGCTGAAGTTTCTAAAGGCCCTGAGCCCCTGGCCCTCGTCTGATGGCCCTATTAGCACCTGTGTCTCGAGGGCAAGCTGTGCATTTTCCTGGGCTGTGTCCCACACTCCAAAAAGGGCAGGCGTACCTCTGCAGGGAGAGACCACCCTGCCAGAGTTCATGCAGGTAGCCCAGAAGCAGCACCGTCTGCAGGAATGAGGCAATTTCTACACTTGGGGGCCAGCCCCAGTGCATGCAGTTCTCTGCCCACAGTCCCAGCTCACCCCATGTAGGGCTGGCTTCCACATACAGGATGACAAACCCACCTCTGGATCCACGTGGTGTTTCAAGAGAAGCCAGCAAAGGTGCTGCACATGTGCTCAGTGCTCTCTACCAAAGGCCAACTCCTTCTAGCGAAGCTTCAGAGCCATCCTGGAGGGAATTCTCTCCTTTGAGTAACAGTCAATGAAAAAAATTTCCACTGTGATGATAGTGCATGTGAATCATTTGGATTACAAGTCGTTTGACTAGTGTGCTTAGACACCACTGAGGAGCCTACTGCAAAGACCCCGTGGGTTCTAGAGGGAGGGCAGTGGTCAAAGCCCTGCGCTGCTGAGGACCAGTGTGGCCAGAGCCTGTTACAGGGACGCTCACAGCCTCAGCCTGGAATGACGGGGCCTGCCAGGACAGCTCTCAGGAAACAGAGCCTCCCAAAAGTCCCTCAGAGACCCGAGTAGTGTTCCTTGAAGGGTGATCGTTGTGGTGTGCTTGGGATTCACAATATCAGTTTCCTTATAAACACGTGAAGTCACTCTCCAGTGATAAAGAGGATGTGCTGCAGACTGTGTGCCATCTGGATTTTGAACAAGGAAGTTCAGAAGCAGGATATTCTCATAAAGATCAAAATCACAGGTGTGGCTTCTCTGTATCTAATTTTCACTATTTCCTGCACCCAGGAGTGTTTCTCCGAATCAGACTCATCTAACCCTTCAGACTTAGCCAGAGTGACAAAAGCAGGCATTTATCAGATTCCTTAGAACTCACACCAGATCTAAACATGGAGGGTTTACGGTGCTGGCAGACGGTTTGCAGGCCAGGCCTCATCAGTATCAGCTGCTAGGGGCAGCGCCTGCTAGGGTGAACCTGCCTGGCCCAGTGCTAACCGTCCTCATCTGCAGCCCACTCCAGACTCCTCTAGGTTAATTGGGTACTCGGAAGTTAGAACAAGACTGTGTCAGGATATAAATATGTGCTATCTGGAGGCATCACCGTAAAAAATCATAAAATCACAAAACCTACATCTCTCTTCAGTCACCTGCTTTGAAGCAGGAATGATCCCAGCAGCTGCTTTCTCTCAGCACCTCCCCTTCTGGGTTTTGTGGCCACACACACCATCCTGTGGTCCACGCAGGAAGATAAGCTGCTCTTTTAGGGAAGGAGAAACACTATCCTGCAGATGCAGCCATCCCCAAACCTTCTGGCTTTCTTCATATCCTGGGTTTGTGAAAGAGGTGCTGACGGCCAGAACAAGGTTGCTAATTGCCCTTACACATTAAAAAAACTTTCAGAAACTCCCTCCTTAATGAGGCACTAGAGGCTTTGTAGATGCTTAACAATACATTTATGCATTTATACAATGTAAATACAATGTATGTTACGTATTTCCACAATATCCGTATGCAACATATGCCATACATTTCCATATGTGTACATGTATATGCAGTTATGACATTTTACACACATATACAATGTACACATACCTTATGCAATGTACATGCAACTACAATATATGTTTATACAATGTATGCAATGTGCACGACACATTTACATAATAGCTTCTGCCACCCTACTTTCTACTGAAACATGTTAGGTGAAATTGTATAAATGCATAATTCTAAGATGTAGCCGATATGTATTTAAGCCTGTAGCCTCCCAATACCATGTTTGGAATTTTCAGATATGGTTAATATGACTGTTCACTAGTTAAGCAGGGCCTGTGAGCCAAGCCTCACCGTTCCTCTGTATTTCATGGGCATGATTGCTGACAATGACAAATATTAGCAGCTAATATTGCCCAGGCACTTAATCTGGGTCACACATTAATCTAAGTGCTTCACATGCACAGTAACCCTCATTTAGAAAATTTAGGTCCATTTTACAGAGGAAGACATTGAGTTTCCAGAGACCTGAGTCCTGTGCCCAAGGTCTAGTCGCTGAGGGTGGAGCAAGGTGAACAGTTGCAGACAGGCGGGCTCAGCTTCATGGGCCTGGGGCTCATCCTCAGGACTCCGGTCTGCCC